TTCAGCAGTGGACTGGCGATTAACAGAACAATTCAACTTGAAAAGGATTTTTATTCGTGCAAAATTCCTGCAATGTTATTTGCGAATAACGGCCAACTGCAACTCTTTGCCAATAACTGACCACGGGGTGGGAGGGACAATGCACATTATAACAAAGTCCAACAAGCCATTATCATTACCTCATCATTGGCAGTAACTTTGAGTAATTTTAATCATTCCCCCCACACCCCCCATCAAAGACAAACAAATACGGCGACCGCGGAATGCATTGCAAACCACTGCGCGGGGTTTTGATTATCATATTGCGGGTAATGGGGGGTTTTGGCTTACCATGTTGAAGTTGACGTGGGGGGGGCAGAGGGAGTCTTAAGCAGCTGAGGTTATTACGAGAGGTGGTGGTGGTAGGAGGCGGCGGGGGGGGGGGGTCGCAGCCGTTGACGTTGAGACGCGCCACGGGTCTCGCCAACCGCACACTTGGCGCGAACTCGCCTCGCGCGACCGCTTATATAGCCGCGGACTGAGTCGTGCCGGCCAATCGCGTCTCCCCGGAGCGCGCGGAGGACGCGCCCCCGCTCGCTCGCGATTGGTCCGTTTGAATTTAAATTTGACGGTTGGGAAACTCAACGACTTCAATTATATCCTTAGCTCTTTCGGTAAAGTCACGTTGAAGGGAAACAATAAAATAATAAAATATCTAAAATATGAATTACTGCAGTCACGAAAGCTTTAAATCAAGACTTCAATTATTTTTGTTTGTAAAGAAACAAACGGATTTAACTGAAATTAAGTTTAGTATTTTTTTTGTGTATATACACTTGTGTGTTGTAGATTGAGATCGAAACAACAACAAAAACGACACCCGCGTGGGAATCTAAAAGAACAATACGTAAAAAAAATGTTCAGAAGTAAAACTAAAATGTGAAAGTGAGAAACACCGATTAAAAGACGTGACGACCTGACATTGCTGACTGTAAAAATGTAACAAGGCCTTTTAATTCGACGAGAAACCCAATTACTTTGATGATCACGACTACCGTAAATTAAGTCCGCTTTGTCAGTGAATACACCTTTGTACAAATTGGCTTCGGTCGCGTCAATCATCCTAGGCCTTGAAATAAAATAAAATTTTCTTGCTGTGGTTTTCACACCTGATGATGATGATGATTGCTTGTGTTGCAGTCGAAACGTCGTGAGAATTTTATTGTTTAATATTTTTTATTATTTTATTGCTTCCCTTCCACGTGACTTTACCGATGAGAACCAAGAATATAACTAATCAGCTTGTCGCATTGCAGGCAATAATCCATTAACCCGAGTTTTTGTTTATAAAAAAAAATAGCAGCGAACATAAGAGTTGAGTCTGTAGATATATTTAAGTCTTCTCTTCAAAGTTGCCTTCCCTCTATAGTTTGGTTGATTGCTCCCGGTTCTGCTTTCGTTTCTTGCTTTCCATGCATTGCGCATTGGGATTCTAGGATGGAATGCTCATTATCAATTTGGATTATTATACAGATATAATAAGATTAAAAAAAACTGAAAATTCTTCAAACTAACCAGCTGAACTATCAGGTCTAAATTATACGTGTCATTTCCCAAAATAATAGCCGAGTTAGTCTCTTGAACTGATGTAAACACACTTTGTTGAACTTCTTTCGCACCGTACAATTGCACTCGTCTCTTTGACAAGCAAAACAGTAGCCTTCGTTACAGTGCAATACTGCACTAATTCTCAAAACATTGAAATGTACTGCCTACCTCACTTTACTCAAGTAATTCATGTAAATAAGGCAACGGGAAATGTTGACTCAATATGCAAACCTAATTGTTAACAAAGCCAAAGCTGAGGGAGGTTTTTTTTTGCTGGAAAATAAATGCGCCTTATAAACAAAAACGATTTTTCCTTTCATCAAAACAAAAGCGCTACATTTGTCCTCACAAGCCAGTAGAGCTTTGTAAAAAAATATAATCTTAATTTGCAAAAAAAATACATTTTTCCTGGCTCATTTCCAGAGGTTTTTTTTATCTTTGGTTGCCCAAAGCTGGGTTTTTTTTCACGAGACTGGTCCCATTAACAGATAATTGTGACCATTTGGAATGAGTTAACAAATAATTCTAGATTTTGAAGCTTTTCGTGACTGCAAGGATTCATACTCTTTGGTTGTTTTTCGGTAAAGTCACGTAGGTAAAAAAACTAAATGAAAACTAAATGAAATCACGACGTTTCGGGCGCAACACAAGCGTCCTTCTTCAGGTGGAGGACAACGTATCGAAAGCACAAACGCTTAAGTGTCTCAGAGATGGTTAACAAATAATGTACGTAAATAAATTGGTACTGTACAAATGTATCCACTGGCCCATATAATATACAATACGAATGACATTTTACGATATGAGCATTGAACTTTGCACTGTAATGGAATTTGACAAAAGTATTTGTCATTTGTTTTGTGCTTTGATGTACAGTTACAAGTACAATTAAAGATTGCTTAAAAGTTATTTAACTGTAGGTAAATCCATGTGTGTCATTGTTCCAACTTTACCAACTTCAATGCTTACAATGTAGATGCTTTCAGAGAAGATTTTAGAAAGCACTAATTTAATCTCTAACAGCGGTTTTCATTTTTACTTTCATGATTATTACTGTTCCATAAATATTTTACGGAAAAAAATTGAGTATGAGCAAACCATCCCAAAATTATACTGTGCAACGGGAATGATTATCGTTTATTATATTATAGTCTTACGATATTGTGACATTCACAGCTGGCACACAAAACAATGAGGCAGACACACAGCATTTGTAAAGATTAGCCACCCATGAAGTAACTTTGCTGCGTGCCAAATAATTATTTAGGGAACTGTTTTTACGTGGAGAAAAGCAAGCCTTAACGAGTAGGGAATTCATTCTTTGTCGAACTCAACATCAATCAACTTGTGTTGTGACTCGAGAGAGTTAGTGTTGCATGAGCTAGCACATTGTGAGAACAGCATTGCCTCGGAGCTGGTACCTTGAACCGATAAATGGAAAAAAATGTGAGCCTTGGCAAGGCAAGTTTGGTCTTGATAATTCTCATCACATTGACGAACATTTGCCAAGTGGAAAAAATATATATAGACTCCCAACGCACAAGATGCAGTTAATGAATGGCAATAAATTGAAGAATGTCAGTTAATTTAAAAATACTGAAATAATTTACAGCCCCTTTTGATAACCCCACTACTTTACATCACTTTGTAAATCCAATTCTCCCAACACCGTGTCATTCGGGTTGCTTGGCCACACTTGTTAATGCAAGTTGACCGGCGGCCCATTACCGGTTAAGATGTTGCTCGCCACCGATGTTAGTCGTGACCGGGAATAAACTCAGGTTACCTGCCTCATCGGCACAGCACTCAACACTGCTTCACCACCACTCCAAATGGGTGGAATCTGTATGACAATTGCTAGAGTAGTCATTCTAAATCGTTCTCTGGATTGTCCCAGTGAAATAGGCTTGCAATAAATGGTGAAGTGCTAACTCCTAATTAAGTTTCATATCGCACCTCCAGTTAGCATGGTTGGCTACACACGGTGCAAAAGTTCAACATGTGTATAAAGTACTCATGTTGCCTTGCACCTTACAAGGCTCCAAAAAACGGCAAACAAAAGCTACAATGCTATAGGGTTACCATGTGTTAAGTTTTCCCACCACGTACACCCGTATTGAATTGCCGTCGAGGAAAAACTGTAGATCCCTAAATCTGTACTAGACCAATGTTTCGATTTAAAGCTTTCGTGACTGCAAGGATTCATCTTCTTTGGTTCTTTCGGTAAAGTCACGTAGAATGAGAATAAAATAACATTGATAAAATAACACGATATTCTCACGACGTTTCGGCCACAACACAAGCGGCCTTCATCAGGTGAAGGGGATGAGACTGTCCAGGTGAAGGGGACGAGACTGTCCAGTCTCATCCCCTTCACCTGATGAAGGCCGCTTGTGTTGTGGCCGAAACGTCGTGAGAATATTTTATTTTATCAATGTATTATTTATTCTCATTCTACGTGACTTTACCGAAAGAACCAAAGAAGATAGACCAATGTTGCAGATTAGACCATCCTGGTATTTTGAATTTACCTGGTTACACAATAGAAACATAATCAACCGAAAGCCTCCATGCTACGGAGGTACTTTCATACCTCACCACGACGGTCAATGTTTTGAAGGGGGTGTGTGTGCCAAGGGTTGGTTGAAATTACTGCGTAATACAGGACTTGAAGAAGTCAATCTGTCATTTTCCAGTGTAGGAACCATTGCACCATACTACCCCATACATCCAACGTGTGGAACTTGAAAATGAAGTTTGAAATTAAAGTGGGCCAATTTTAAAAACGGAAAGCCAATGTTAAAAATCAGCCTCTGTGCATTCCATAAAATGTCTCTAACATGGAGAGAATACCAAGGTAAATAAAAACCACGTAGGTGCAGTGTCTTTAAAGGCAACTGCCCAACAGAAGGCACACGTCTACCCTCTAAAAAGGTCAGTTGCCCTCCCACTAAATTGCAGCAGGCAAAACTATTTTTTACACGCTTTTATGTAATACTATATTCTATCATAAAAAAATATATTTAACATTCTTTTTTATGTTACGTTTCGGCTTGGGTCTAATTGTCCACGGTAAAACTGACGTTGGCTGTAATTGGGCACGTTCCTTACGTTATGGCAAGCTTCGGGGCCACTTCCTGGAGTCGTGGAGTTCTTGCATTACTAGTACATTTCATAAAAGTGTGTTTAAAAGTTTATTAAAATATTAGTTATTACAGCAAAACCAGTTGTGTAATTTTCACTCCTATGGCAAGGGTTCTTTGATCCAGGGAGACCAATGAAGGGCCGTCTGACCACCCCAACCAGGAGTTGAACCCAAAAAAAATCATGCGCACTCCACCTCTGCACCATTTCACCCAACAATGGTTCAACTCAAACGTCCAGCAGGATTTCAAATTACTCCAGGCAAACAGTCTCATTGCAATGGGTTTTATTTTGAAACAAATCTAGGCAACATACAATTTCAATTGCGACACAAAAGCATCAGAAAATAAATTGCACGAAGTAAACGAATAAACAGATGGCGCAATCAAGAGGCATCTGGCAACAACTTTGGGCTTTTCGTTAAGTCTTCTTAATACTCGTCTTCATCCTCCATCTCTCCTTCCAGCGAATCGATACCAACTTCCTCGTAATCTTTCTCCAGGGCTGCCATGTCTTCACGGGCCTCGGAGAACTCTCCCTCCTCCATGCCCTCCCCCACGTACCAGTGCACAAAGGCACGCTTGGCGTACATGAGGTCGAACTTGTGGTCAAGTCGAGCCCATGCCTCCCCGATTGCAGTGGTGTTGCTCAGCATGCAGACGGCGCGCTGCACCTTGGCCAGGTCACCTCCCGGCACAACGGTTGGTGGCTGGTAGTTGATGCCAACCTGCAGAGGGAAAAAAAGATGAGACTCAATACAAAATGTTGCATGGGCATTTTTTGAATGGATTAACTTTATTTAAGACACTAAAATGCACATTGCAAATTCTAATGCTCAATAACCAAAAGGAAAATGTCAAGACTTCAGGATGTTTTTCATGTTTCTAAATAGAAAGCCCAAACAAGTATTAGATTGTGCGCCCAAAATTATGGTCTGGAAGAACATTTGTTTCTTTATTAAGATTGGGTCAAAATAAAGTTAAATTGCTTCCAAGTTTAGTGCTTCTCAAACATTAACTTCTTATATTAGTAATTGACCAGTCAGACGCTCAAGTGAAATCTGCAAAAATAATGTGTATATATTAAAAAGTCTAGAATTTGCAGTCACTAAATTATCATTACCAGCAACATGATCGCAATATGCAAAACAAAATTCCATGATTAACAAAATGCATTTCTGCAAAATGTCGCAGGCCAGTTTCACATACCTTGAAGCCAGTGGGACACCAGTCAACAAACTGAATGGAACGCTTCATTTTGATGGCTGCGATGGCAGCATTGACGTCCTTGGGCACCACGTCTCCTCGGTACAGCATGCAGCACGCCATGTATTTGCCGTGGCGGGGGTCGCACTTCACCATCTGGTTTGCCGGCTCAAAGCAGGCATTGGTGATCTCGGACACCGACAGCTGCTCGTGGTATGCTTTTTCTGCCGAAATAATGGGTGCATACGTGACCAGCGGGAAGTGGATGCGCGGGTAGGGCACCAAGTTGGTCTGGAACTCGGTGAGATCGACGTTGAGGGCACCGTCGAAGCGCAGCGAGGCCGTGATGGACGACACGATCTGGCCGATGAGGCGGTTAAGGTTGGTGTAGGTGGGGCGCTCGATGTCCAGGTTGCGGCGGCAGATATCGTAGATGGCCTCGTTGTCGACCATGAAGGCGCAATCAGAGTGCTCCAGGGTGGTGTGCGTGGTGAGCACCGAGTTGTAGGGCTCCACCACGGCCGTGGAGACCTGGGGTGCTGGGTAGATGGCGAACTCCAGCTTGGACTTCTTGCCGTAGTCAACGGACAGGCGCTCCATGAGGAGGGCGGCAAAGCCAGAGCCCGTGCCTCCACCGAAGCTGTGGAAGATGAGGAAGCCCTGCAAGCCTGTACACTGATCCGCCTGGAGATAAAGAGCAATAGGTCAACATGCAATCATGGCCAAACAAAAGTCAATTACGTCACAACACTTCGGCAACACTTTATACCTTGTGTCAGCTCCCGCGGATGCTGCACAGCAGACACGCGACCTCCAACATCTGCCCTAACAGTATCCAACCATCTGGTCTTAGGTCTTCCCCTTGATCGCCGGACTCGTGGAGACCACGCCAATGCCTTTATGGGTAACCGGCCCACCTCCATCCTGCACACGTCCCACCCAGCGCAACTCTTTTGGCCTAATCCTGTACTGTATACTTACCTATCATGTTCTCTTCCACCAGGTTTCCACATTGCTTATCCCATCTTGCCACGAGATTCCTAGCATCCGTCTCGGGACACCTGTGCTCAAATGCCAAGAAGTTCTTTTCAAACTGCTTAGTTAAAAAAAATCAGCTCTCTGAACGATACAGCAACATATAACCATTCCTGCCTAAAAAAAATGCCCTTTTTCCCCCCCCACACACACACACACGACTTGCATCGCTTCTCTTCCTGGAGACTGACAGTGATATTAAACCAGAGAAAACTGGTAAACATGTTTAGGTAGGATAACAATGGGGAGATTTTTGTGGGCGTTGACATACCAACTTGCGGATACGGTCCAGCACCAGGTCGACAATCTCTTTGCCGATGGTGTAGTGACCGCGAGCGTAGTTGTTTGCGGCATCCTCTTTGCCGGTGATCATCTGCTCCGGGTGGTACAGCTGCCGGTACGTGCCGGTGCGAATTTCATCTGTTAAATGCCAAATTAAGCATCGTTAGAAATGCTGGATTCAAATCGCACAGAGTGGTGTAGTAGCACAAGACTGAACTTTAGCATTAGAGATGTGGGTTGATGCAGTCTATGAAAGACACTTGAGTGTCACATCCATGTCAGATTTTACACCAATGCAGAAATATAATCAATGTACGAGACAAAAAAAACAATTAATTATAGAAAATGGGTGTGCTCTTATTCGGGAAATCACAATACAATATTACAAGAACAAAACTTTATCTTTTGCCAAGTCAATAGTTTGTTAAACCACACTGTGTATTTAACTCCTTTCCCGCAAATGTTGTGTTTGCTGCAAAATCGTAGTGTGCTGAAGAAGCAGTCCTTACCAACCACGGTTGGCTCCAGGTCGACAAATATCGCGCGGGGCACGTACTTGCTGGCGCTGGTCTCACTGAAGAACGTGCTGAAGGAGCTGGCACTACCGCCGATGTTGTCATGGCACGGCATCTGCCCGTCGGGCTGGATGCCGTGCTCCAGGCAGTAGAGCTCCCAGCAGGCGTTGCCCATCTGGACACCGGCCTGGCCCACGTGGATGGAGATGCACTCACGCTGCGCAGAGGTGGGGGGGGGGTAAGGAATAAGAAGATGAAAGACGGAAATTAAAGCGCTGGATCACCAGGTGCATTTTTCAGTGGCCTTTGTTTTATCGAGGCTCTGAATTAATAATGAACCTCTTTTTTCAGAACATCAATCATCTTTCAGATGACGAGTGAATGCACATTGGTTAAAACGTGAAACCATCAATTTAAACGGAATAGGTTACTCTTAGAATTAACTTTTAACGGTTTATTAGAAGCAAAGTTCAAGATGCTAGCATTTAGTGCATTCCTATTTTTTTCAGAATCCTCATATTTTAATGAATATGGGGGGGGGGGGGGCTTCTAGTTACTTGGGGCGAATAAGCCTTTGCTTTGCCAATAGCTAGGGTCTCCAGCTGCTGTCTCGACACTCCATCCGTCGATTCCCACTTAACGCAGGCAGCACTCGGTCCCTTGGGGCCTCCGGATAGCTCTGCCCTGGCCTCACTCCAGCCTCTCCTGGGTACTCCGCCACCTGCTATTTTTTGCCCGAGCAGACAAATGGCTGTCTAGAGCTCAATTGCTTTTGCACGTTAAAAAATCGGAAAGGAAGGTTTATTAGGCATGAATAGGGCTGCCGCATTTGACACAGTATGGGGTCACCGATTTGCAGATAAATACTAAAATAGAGCCTGTAAATACAAATGTAATTTCAAGTTGACAGGCCGTCAACTACCGCCCGTGATTTTCCCCCGCCAAGAACCGACTAATGACATCACAACTGCAAACATTATGCAAAAGGTTCACATAAAAATTAAGTTCCCCGATGGAAATGTTTAAATTGATCATCTCTAAATAGCCTCCATAAAAATGTATTGGATACATTGTATACATCTTTCTAAAATTACCCAGACCTACACCGCCGTACACCATTTCATTTGACGTAATCTCTCGTTGGTTTAAGTACTGCGTCACTTGCAATGTGGCGTCCCTGGTGGTGTTGGCTGGTAAGTCTCGCTGTGGCGGGGTGGGCGATTAATTATGAGCCCGGGCAGTGACGTGTGCACTGCGTCGGCGCTACATTGGTGAAAGCGTTTTCGAGTTGCGACGGACGAAACACGCACACGGAAAGGTCGAGAAACGTTGGGCATTTTTTTTATTCTTCCTCAAGCACTGCGCGATAGCTGCACCTAATGGTTTTGACTGCGGCTACAATGTGACTTTAACCTACCAGCGAACCGAAATGCATTCCTCGAAAATGTAATATGGCATATTATGTAATATGGCATATTAACGTCGAAAAAATCTTGCCGCATATTTTAAATACTGCAACAATGTTTATAAAGAAATTAACCAGTGCCACAACCAGCACTTTTTAAAAATATTCATTTGAATCATTATAGTGATGGTGGGGGGGCGGTTAGTGATGTTTTTATTAGACCCGGCCATAGGATCGTGGGAATGCCACACACACACACAACGGCCTCAAATGGCGGCTCAAATGCCCCGAAGCCCAAGAACCCCACGACACGTGCAGCTCACGTGGGGCCGGGACCCGGAAACGTTTCACTCCTCGGCCGCGTGATCGTTTCAAGGGCGTGGGCCAATCACGTGACGGGAGTGGCGGCCAATGAGAGCACGCCGCAGCGCCCCCCCCCCCTTACCCTCAACAGTCCCCCCCCACACCGCGTGCGCATGGCGGCAGTGTGGCGACGTTGGAATTGAGCGCGGATCGATTCGAGACGATTACCTATCGCCCACCGAATCGACCTGCGATTTTATATATTTTTTACAAACGTTGGGAGTGTGCTGGCAGTTGGGGCGGGGGGGGTCCAAGTCGATTCGGGACGATTCGCGAGCGAAGCCCACCGGAATCGAACACGAAAATCGACTTTTTAAGATCGTTTTGTATTAACGTTGTGCGGGGGGCGGCAAGGAGATGTGGCGCAGCAGTCGCAATGCGCTTCCAAGACCCCCCCACTCCCCCACCCGATGATTTCAATTCACAAGGCTCACATCATCATCAGCGGGGGAGCGATACACGAACACCACCCCCAAAGCGATTCTTGCGCGGTGCATTCCACAGAGCAGCGCCCGCACTTTTTTTTTACCGCCACGCAACTCGTGAACCAGCGTGGGGAAGTATGGACAAACCGCCGCCATGCCGCGCGAACACAACGCAAACGGCTTTTACACACCAAATTTCAAAATTATATTTATCAATCGACGTTTAAAAGTCGTACCAAAGCGGTCCAGTATATATTACAACCGGCCTCAAGGGGGGGAAAGATTAAAACATTCGATTACCGCATCGAATTGTGCGACAATTAAAAAGATTTATTTTTGTTAAGCGGAACGCCGGCCGCAGTTTATAAATGTGCGCGCGCTTGCCGCAGGGAAGCTTTACGTTTACATTTTTGACGGCAGCGAAAAATAAATAACAAAAAGGCAACTATTAGTTGTTACGGGGGGGGGGGGGGAAATAAAATGTGGAAAGCGTGAGAAGACAAAACTGCGTTGTCAAAACGTTAAGAACGTCTTTTTTTAATTTTGGCGCCGAAATTTTTCTCCCCACCCCACCCGTTATTACTCGCCGATTTAAATTTTATTTCAAGCGGATACGGTTTTTTTAAAAGGACATTTTTCTTTTTTTAAAAGGGACGACCTTACGTTATATATAATTATCTCGAGTTAAAAATGTAAAGCCATGTATGGGCTAAATTTTTCTTTCCCCACAAAAATTAGGTTCGACAAACATGGGTGCGGCCAACGGCGCTGACGGGCATCGCTTTCCCTCCCAAAAGCACAAAAGACAAACGTAATTCATTATTTATTGGTTCCTTTCGTCGCACCTCTTCATACCATCATTTGTTAGTTTCACATTTTTTAAACAAACAAAAATCTTTATTAAATCGGGGATTTTGCAGCAGAGGGGGAATAAAATGGCAACTAAAAAAAATTTCGGCATTTCCGCGGTTACAAAGGCAACAATCACCCCCCGCGCCTTGTTACAATTTCACGATGGTTTGTTATTCGTAGTCTTGAATTAACTATAAACTTTACAACGGAATCGTCGCGGGGGGGGCGGGAAACTACAATTTACACATCGTCGAGCACAAAAAATATACGACCATAATACATAAATTTACGACCGATATGCAAAATGAATCCGGTTCAAATATTTCGCAAAAAACTCTACACCAAACGTTATATTAGATTAACGTGTAAAAAAACAAATTTAGTCTTTTAAAAAAAAATTCGATAATACATTAACAAACATGACAAGCGGGTTGGCGGGAGAGAAGAGAAAAAAAACCTCACCACAAGCAACACGGGCGCGGCGTTACACAACAACTCACCATTGTCGTTGACTTGGTGGGGGGGATGAGCTTCCAGAAAGAAGACTTGAGCCTCTGAATGCAAACTACCGCTGAACGTCAACTGCCCTGAGACGCGTTACGGGTCTCTCAAACAGTGAAGCTGTGTCGCACTCAGGAATGAACGCCACTATTTATACCCCCCGCCCGATCTCCATCCTCCTCCCCACCCAGCTAAGACACTGCCCCCTTTCGCTCAACAGGATGCGGCATTTTTGGGGGTACATGCCCCCGCCCGCCCGCCTCTGTTACAAACACGCTCACACATGCCACCCAACCACCACCACCAACCACTGCCAGGCCCGTCCCTCATTTCAACAGCAACCATCATCATCGGTGGCTCAGATGCCATCCCCATTGGCTGGAGTACGTCCATGTAACACACGCACGCACACACACGCGCGGTGCCCAGCCCCCAACCTTCTAGAAAACCACCACCAGGGCACGTCGCTCTCATTCAACGGGGACCAACAGCAATCACCAGCAGCAGCAGCATCATCGGTTTGCACACCCCCATTGGCTGCAGTGGCCGAACCACTATCACGCCCCGCAGCAGCAGTAGCAGCAGCAGCACGAAAAACCCTCCCCCTGTCTGCATTTTTGGTATCATGCGGCACTGCAACACGGCAAATCCAACAGGCTCACGGGACGCAGTTGGTACTGCAAGTTACGCCCAATTATTCACCACCAACGCCCCGTTTCACGCGATCTGATTTTTTTTTGCAGCTATTTAATGAGATATTTGTTTAGAATTGTGCTCAAATAATGGAATGGAGAGCGTTCCGGGAAGACGTTTACGGTGTCTGAAGGAACAGCCGCATGGATCGGGAGAACGTGCACAGGTTAAATTCGATTGTTGGGGAGGATACTTCGCTCGAAGGGATCATGGCCAATGGTCATGAATAGTGATAGTGGGAGCAAAATGGAACAATAACGGAGAGAGTATATATCCTCAGAGGAGATGGAGCGGTGAATATATCGTGTGCAGGTGCTAAGTGGAATATTACATATCACAGTATCATGAGATTGGGTTGGGTGATCTTTATCCAGCTGGTGATGTGGTGAATTGAGTTGAATTTCGACAATACCCGAAATTACGATTCATAATGTTTTTTTATATATTGTGAATATATCGGCCTCTGGTTGCATTGAGTAGGACGTGTGCAGGATGGTCAGCAGGTTCAATAAAGGCATAGGAATGGTCCCCTAAGTGGAAAGTGATGTGAGTTTCAACGAGGTTACAATAACCAAAATACACTTTGTAACACAGTAGGAGAGAGCTGATTTTCAGCAGTTTAAAAAGTAGTTGTTGGCATTCGAGCACAATATCTGTGACATATGCTAGGCATTTGGTGGAAAGCAGGAAAAGCAATGCGAAGGAGAACATGGAAATTAATTGGCAATTAATTGAACCATGGAATATGAATTCCTGCAGTCACGAAAGTTTTAAGTCAAAATTAAATTGACCTCTAAACATGTTTTCCTATGCAAATTCATTTATGTTTTGAATAAACCGTAATTTAAAACAAATAAAGTTTTAGAAAATTAAATGAACATCTGGGCCCCACCCTGTACTGTAGACAATTCGGAAAAACCGGCTACGCTGGATGGGGGCATGTTTTGAGGATGCATGTATATTGTATGTTGAACTTCTTTCGCACGTACGTAGTCAACCAATGCATTAGGTTCGCCCCTTGTTCGCCATAAGTTTGGCGACCATGGGGAAAGTAGACATTGAGAGCAGATGGTGGGATACTGTTAGGGTAGATCTATGTCTGTTGTGCAGCATCCGCGGGATCTGACGGATGTGTAGACAATGTTTGTGAGGTGTGGTGGCATCAATGGCTTTGGCCATGATGACATCTTCTTGATCGAGTGGCCGAGGAATCACATGAAGCTAATACTGTGCTGCGTACCTTATTCTCCGGATTGTAAGACGCACTCTTCCCTGTATTTGACATAAAAAAATGGTGGTGCGTACCACTGTATATTCATTCCGGCAAGGTCTATAATAAAGGGTTTTTTGGGTTAGATCGCGTAAATATAAACGTGTCGTTAAATCCGCCACCACCCGACACACCCAATTAGTATGGTTTGTCACGTAAACAGAACATGCCAATTCGTTATTAGCCCTACACACCGGTGTGTTGGAGAGTAAATGCACAACATTTACAATTTGAGTACGACATTTCACCAGGATTTAAAGCTTTCGTGACTGCTAGGATCCATACTATTTGGTTCTATTGGATAAAGTCACGTAGGTGAAAATAAAATAACAAAAAATCACGACGTTTCGGCCACAACACAAGCGGCCATCATCAGGTGAAGGGACGAGACTGTCTGGAGGACAGCGCTGGAGTGGAAGGAATTACAATCGGAATTATCAGGCGACAGCCAGATTTGTGGAGAAATCCTCCTGTTTCGTTCTTAAATAGAGGGATAGATGTGATGTCATCACTTGTGAGCCTATGTGTTAAAAAAATTCCGGTAAGGGTTGGGGGTTGTGACAAGGTTTGTTTATCTTCTTTGGTTCTTTCGGTAAGGTCACGTAGAATGAGCGTTCATTGAAGCTCTGTGGATGTGTAGGCCTTTACTTTAACATCTATTTCTGTGACCAGTCACAAGCTAATCCCTTAGCTATTTCAATGCTAAATTACTAGTTGCCTCTGTGGATGTGTAGGTTTTGACTTTAACATAACCATTTCCGTGACCAGTCACAAGCTAATCCCTCAGCTATTTGCACAAGCTGATCCCTTAGCTATTTCAATGCTAAATTACTAGTTGCCTCTGTGGATGTGTAGGTTTTGACTTTAACATTGCCATTCCTGTGACCAGTCACAAGCTAATCCCTCAGCTATTTGATATGTAAACCCCTTTGTCAAGGTGCCTCACTTCTCCCAACCAGCTTAAACGTCGCTACGAATCTTAACATCGTTCATTGAAGATCTGTCGTCCCGACAGGTCTGTACTTTCACCTGAAGACGGCCGCTTGCGTTGTGGCCGAAACGTCGTGAGAATTTTATTGTGTTCTTTTATTCTCATTCTACGTGACCTTACCGAAAGAACCAAAGAAGATTCATCCTTGCAGTCACGAAAGCTTTAAATCGAAAGGTTTGTTTAACTATATTGTTGTAACGATCTGACCTGCCTCCACTGGACATATGTGAAAAGAGCTTTATAGCTCATCCTCCGGTATAAATATTCTTATTATTATTGACACCGAACAAGTTTGTGGTGCGTCGTCCCTGAACGTCAAATAATCCGGATTATACAATACAGAGAAACATCGATCCTCACACGAGTTTCAACGCATGTGTCATGAGTTTAAGGATCGGTGTGCTTTATTATAACACTGCTGCTGTCACAAGATTTTCCAAACCGCCAGTCCTCGAGACCCCACTGATGACCCACAACGTTCGATCCGCTGGGATATGAAAGATACAAATCATTAAGCCGTTACACGCCGCACGCGCCTCGTGATTGCGAAACGCAGGGGCGGGCGCAGATTCAAGTTAAAACAATGTGCTATGGCTGCGTATCTTTTATATTTTCCACAAGGACGCTGGTAATTGTTGTCGAGTTTTACAATTTGGCGTCGAACTAGGGCCAACCATATGGCTGTAAGATCAGAAGTTGATCAGGATTGACTCGTGAAAGCCTTACTCTGCTGATGAGATAGTGCATGTCGAAACCGGTCCAGAGTTTTTATTATTCTATTTGGACCAATTCTGCTTCAACCACAGAAGGCCGTGCGGCTGATGAGTTGTTAGATTTCAAACAAAAATGTGTATTTTTGTGGAGACGGATGTGCAACATTGCTTATTTTGCAGCGAAGGGCCACTGGCCGAAACGTCGCCTGTTAAATTCTTACATTAAACGCAGTGTTATTTGTTTCGTGCTTGAGTACCACTGCCAATACATCACCAAATGTCACATTAAAACCGGTTTCCCATAAAGGGCTTCATTGTACAAATAGTAACACGGATTACTTTTCAAGTGCTCTGGTGAAATGTGTAAAGGTATACCACAAGGGCATGTATAAGCAGACCCGGACACTTGCAAATACTTTAGTCCATTAGCCTTTAGCTTCCAGACTATTATCAGCATTTTTAAAGCAAACGCCAGACCTGTTTCAGTATTGTGGGCCTCATTCGTCAGGCGAGTGAAATAATTACTGCTGGTTTGCTACATGTTTTTGGCAAGAGACGATGGTCATACAGTACAGTATATCCATGTGGGTTTTAAGGACTGAGTGTTGCGAAAAACTGGTTCATGTACAGCACATGCTTGTGCACGTAAATATATTTATAGAAGCCGATTGCTAATGAGCCTCTGCTCAACAGCTGATTGAATATTGAAGCAGTGGGTCTATTTCTGCAGAGTATTAAAATCTTAAAATGCCATGAAATGAAGATGTAGTCGTTTATATAGAATGTTCGCTCAATTTCCAGTTTTATCGGCATGTATACAAATGTTTGCAATTATGCAAAAAACCCCTATAAACCCATCCTTTAAAAATGAAATTTCCATTTCGTAATTACAGCATCAAGTGTTTATGCACATGAAAATAATTGAGTGACATGAATTGTCACATTCTCACCTAATTCCAAATACGCAATTGTTGCATGCTTGGAAGACCTTGGGCAAGCATGGATACATTTCAAAACGGCAAGTCGAACTTCCCAAAAATGTTGTGGTTTCCAGGCTGCCGTATGGGGTAGCAGCAATGGGTTCCCGTTACAGAAATTCAAACCACTGACAGCTGTCCAGATAGCCGAGTCATTCCAGTTACACTGGCCAACTATATTTCACAAACCTGTCATCCAAACCCAAAAAGCGTGCCCATCTTCAGTAAACTTGGGACTTTGGTGCCACTTGAAAATAATTTAAACTTGAAAAGCAGTATTCACTCAAGACACTCAATGTGTGGAACCAGGTAGCAAAGGCAGCCACGCAGGTCAGCTGGCACCAATTACCCAACTTCTAGTCCACTATTTAGGCATCCGCAAATTGTGGTAGGAAACCAGAATTCACCATTCTATACATAACAGGTGAGGTGGTCTCCACCACCTCCTGTAAATGCTTACATTACAGCATTCAGACATCGACTATTTGCGTCAAATTTTGATCTAA